CGCGTACCCACTCCTAAAGTGGCAGGGAACGGGTCTGACCCCGTGGTACACTCATGCTGCATGTCACGCCTCTTCATCCACAGCAAGCTAGAGTATCTCTTCCTGTCTGTGTGGTACACTACTGCAGAGGAATGAATAAAAGACTTCTCTGAATTTCATCAATGAAATAAATAGAGCTCAGCTGGAAAATTACTGGTTTTCTTACTTGAGTAAGCTTGTCACTACGTATTTCCAGTATTTTGGTACGCAGTGCCTTTCCGGTACCGGCTCATTACGTGCTGGAGCTGAGTTTTTGGCTCGAGTTCTCGGTTACAAGACTGTTTATCTGAGTAATCCAACTTGGTTAGTTTAGAATGGTTCAGCTTTCAGTTCTGAAATTAATTGAGTCTTTATCTCCCGTAGGGGTAATCACAAGCTGGTGTTCACAAACTCTGGCTTCGACAAGATCTGCGGTTATACTTATTGGGATCCTGTCAATAGGAGAGTAGACATCGATAAGGTGCTTAGCGACTTGGAAAATGCGCCGGAAAAGTAAGTTTCTCATTGAGGTTTTCAATCGTTTCCTGTGATGTTTGCCGAAAGAGTTATTAGCGGTGCACAGGGCAAAAAAGGAAAATGTATTCGTTAAGATCAGTTGTTATTCTTCATGGATGCGCTCATAATCCGACTGGTATGGATCCCACACAAGAGCAGTGGAAGCGAATTTGTGATGTCATTAAGGTGTGTTGATTACCAGAATTTCTTGATGTTTATTCCAACTTTCAGCAATCCCTTACTATACATGGCAGAAGGAGAAGCCAAAAAGGCCATTTTTGCACATTGTGCACAACGTCAAAAATAGGTCGCTCAGGGTGCAGGGCACCTCATCGTTGGGGATTCCTCAACTGGGGGGGGGTCGTATTTGGTCCGAGCAAATGTTTCTTGATGAGTATCTTCTTGTTTCCCTCCTGTTCTTAGGTCGGTATCATAGGAGGGAACTAGTGGGGGGGGAGTTTGGGGAATGGAATTCGACCAAATCGCCTACCACCGCAGTGATGTCCCTGTGGGGTGAATAAGACCCTAAGAACGGCTCCAGGTAAATTTATTCGGCCTGGCAGTCAGAAAAGCAATTCAAGTGTTTTCCTGAAAGTGGAGTGCAGTGAATTAGAACGGGAGAGACGTCCATCACTGCCTCCACCTTCTCAAGAACATGATCTCATCTATGATCGCCGACGAACTTATGAGCGCTATCCAATTTTGAGTCGGTCTGAAGCAGATGCGCAGTTTGTAATATGGGGTCGCTTGCGTGCTGCTTACTGAGATTACCACTCTGCTACTGCTAGAGGATACTAGACATCCACTTTCCAGCAATGTTGGCAAAATCCATGGATTTCTTTGTCGTGATCACCCTGCGGCCCAAATTGTTTCGTCAAGTGCATGCCTGTGTGCCATCGAACCCCCCCCCCCTTGTCCAGGGAAGCGCGCCTATATCAGCGAGTACGAAGGGTGCCTCATTTTGTTTTGTGTGGGTGTGACATGTAGACACTACCAAGCGTTCGTGCTCCAGATCTGCTGAGAGCTTACGCTTACTGGGAAAGAATGGTGGTCTAAGCGGCTATTAGCGATGAGGTGTGTGCTAACTGATGCATTTTCGAACGGTCACTCCAATTCTGCTTTCCATATCTGCGGTCCCTGGAGCAACGGAATGGAAGTAACGGAGCTTCCGTGCGAAGCACGCTCACGTGCAGAACACGTAAATGAGTTGCAAGCCTTCCTTAGCTGAGCCTTGCACAAGGCTCCCTGACTTCCCCGTGAAAGAATGTCACAGTTATGTACAGAGAAAATTTGCTTAAACCCAAAAATGGGGGAAACAAGCATGTCCTGTCAAGGTTCCGAAGCTTTGACCATGCCGAGATGAGCCCAGCCAGCTATCCACCACACTATCGAGTCACAGTAAATGCAGACTCCCGACTCATTTGCATATTGAAGCTGAGCGTGCATCGCACAGAGACCTACGTAACTTTGTTCCCAGAAACGTTTAGCAGATATGGGAGGCAGATTTGAAATCAGCGTCCCAAGACACATCATGCATCTGGTGTGCGTCTAATTTTCGAAGGCGACCAACCTCTTTCCTGGAAATATAGACGCCTCTATTGATGCGAATGTTTTATGACGGCCTCACCCTACGCGCAGGAAATATCACCAGCTCAGTGAAGCTTCTCAAGCATTGCCTACTCGAAATGATGACAATTGATTTCAGCGTCGCCATCTCTTCCCGTTCTTCGACATCGCCTACCAGGGTTTCGCATCTGGAAATCCCGATACTGATGCGTGGGCTATTCGATATTTTGTCGACCAGGGTTTAGAAATGCTGATAGCTCAGTCGTTTGCGAAGAACTTCGGATTGTACAGTAAGCACACATATTTTTGGCGTTCATTTTTTTTCGTCTTCGGCGCTATTCACTGCCCCTTTACTGCCCCACTACCCAAATATAAACTCGACTTCTCTCAAGGTTTGTTTCTGTTATTGAAATGGCCAGTAAGTTAAGTGCTCCGGCGCCTATACTGGGCGCCTGGTTTCGCATCAAGTGGGCGAGGTACTCTAATTCAGAAAATCGAGTTACTATCGAGCGGTGTTTGGTACTTGTTTTTCCTGGTGATATTGGAATGATTTTAGCGCCAACAAAAATTATTCCTAGGTCACTATCCCGACAATGGTTACGTGACAACTAAAACTTTTGGTGGGGGTCCTGCCACGATAGGCCAGAGCGCAGAGCAATAAGGGACTGCCACTGCCAAGGCATCGTGAGGTACAAAAAACACGATGCGAGCCAGGAGATGAGTTTTTTCGAGGGGAAGGGATATCGGGGTGGATGAGCCACTTAGTATGCGTGAAAAGTTGGAATGTGAAAGGTCAAAGTGGCCATAAATCGCCATCCAGGCAAGAGAGCGCAGAGAAAAGAAGAAAGTTGGCGCCATTAAAGGGATTGAGTTTTAGCTGTCCGTAGACCCCCGACAATGAGTTCCCCGCCAAACTCTTTCTTGGAGTCAAATCTTGATGAAAGTAGGTCTGAAGTTCGGGGAGTGGGACAGTTGTGTGTACAAATCGCCCATATTCCTTCCTGTCTCTAACTATTTACTCATTCGCGGAACATTTTGCTTGTAGGGCAT